CCATGTGATTGGTTGATTAGATAATTGCATTAATGAGAAATTGAACAGGTGTTCCTAATAATCCTTTAGGTGAGTGTACATTGGTTGCACACAATAAAATCATGTTTTGCCAACATGAATCTTTCATTAGAATATACCTAAGAATTTTACATTGGACAAGTATGATTCTATTATGTAATTTAAACTGAAAGCTTTAATGTTCAACAAATATAGCATATTTTTGTGCAAGGGGCATATGATTCAACATGTCTTGATAATGTTTATTGTACAAAACACACAAGATTATAAATTATTTTGAAACACTGAACAGAAGTTAACCAAGATCCTTCAACCTTTTTATTTTCAGGAATCTCATAAGTACAAAATAAATTGCTTAATTTCCCCAATATCAGTACACTGTATAAAAATTACAATTATTTTAAGCATAAAACAGTTTTAAAACATTGCAGGTAGCTCAGTCAATCTAAATAAAACGAATAAAAAGAATAAAATGCAAGGGGTAGGCATCTAACACAGAAAAATATGATTAATGTGAACACAGTACCTGCAGTAGATAATTAATACATAGAAAAGAGGAATAGTGTGTGAGGTATGCAGCTTCTAAAATGACCTTTCAGCACACTTCTGAAATTCACAAATACCACAAACTGCAAATTTTACATGAAAACTTTGAATGAAAAAAAGCATATAATCATGGAAAAAAGTCCAAACATCCCACAGAGTTTGATTTTTATAGCCTGTGCCCTATTGGAAAGGGCAAAGGTATACCTCAGTTCATGAGGGCAGTGCAGGTTCAAGTTGTAAATAAGACCAAACAGCATTGCAGTCACAAATGCCACACTTCGTAGCCCCCACACCACTGCATGGCCTTCAACGACAATCCCAATAACTTCTACTTCACTTGAGTTGCTGTACTTGAAGGTAAAAATTCCAATTGTGGTATCCTCTTAATTTTATTTGGAATATGGACATATTGGACAATATGGTCTGGAATGGTGTCACGTGGGGGTGGGTGATCTTCCGAAAAAAAAAAATCATAAAAATTTTTGACACAGTCACAATCTATGATCTGAATTGCAATTTTGAAATGTACGGTCAAGAATATCCAGATTCAAACAAGCCTAAGGACTTACCGATCAGTAGTGTTGTAGTCAAGACCGCCTAAACCGAGACCAAGACATTGCCGAGACTGGAGGGTATCAAGACCAAGACACTGCTGAGACTTGAGGGGACCAAGACTAAGTCCAAGACCAAGACACACTAAGGCGAGACCAAGACCAAGACTGGTCGAGACCAAGACCGAAAACAGACTAGGGCTAGAATCGACATCACATTACTCAGATCAACTGTAGAGAAAAAAGGCATTGCTGTAAAGTGTCATTACTCGTTAAATCAAATTCATGTTATCTTTTCAATTATATTGTCCATATGTCCATATGTCTCTCATTTAAAATCTCCCAGATTTGTCAGTTACGAGGCCTGATGGAAAATAATATTCTCAGCAATCCTCTCCTATAACCATTTTATCCGACCTCGTCAAGGGAAAGAGATGGGATGTACCAGAAAGATGTTCATATTAAGTCTCTTATACCAGGGACAGAGGCCTTGGGTAAGCTATGAATACAGCTATGTAATGATCCTTTGCTTTGAATTGAAGAGAATGAGCCTCCAGATTGACTTGCACCTCCAAGACCGTGCTTTCTAATGAATGTAAAATACCTAATTTATTTGAATTATAACTATGCTATAGACTTCGCGGACATTTTCGGACATTTCTTTGCCGACTTCGCTATGATGCGATGTGTATGATGTGTGTGGACTATGAAGCACTGGCAGTGTCCATTGAGAAAATGTATAAAATGTAACGTTTTTAAAATAGATGCATTTGACTGGTTGCATTTGAACTGAGGCGCATAATAAATAATGATACTGTTCTGTGAGGCTGTGCTGTTTTCTCTTTTTTTCCCCATCCCATCGAGACTGCTATGTCCGAGACCAAGACAAGACCGAGACCAAATAGAGTCGAGACCAAGACTAGACCGAGACCACAAAAAATTGGTCTCAAGACTAAGACCAGTCTCGAGAACTACAGCACCATATAAAACATAATATTGCATTAAGACACTGTTTTCGAAATGGTCATTGAAAACTGAGTTAAACTTCACCTTAAATACTTTAATATTAAAGTTGTAATACGTAGTCATTTGCCATGAAAATTTGTCAAGTATTCAGGAAAAAAATGTAACTACTGACCATGACGACTACGCCTTACGAGTAAAGCCAAAGTGCGCACTAGTCAACATGTACATGCAGCACATTAAAAAGTAAAGCTCTAAAAACTTCACTTGTTAACGTGTATTGCAGTTTAGTACTTACTTGTTACTTGGCTTTACTAGTAAGGCATGGTCGTCGACTAGTGCGCCAAAAACGCCAACTAGTAAGGCCAAGTCATCGACTAGTGGACTGTTTTTAGAGCTTACTAGTTTACATGTAAAAAGAAATGTGTGTCACTAGTTAACATGAAAGGCCAAAAAGAGCACTATTAGTGGAACTAGTGGACATTTTGAGCCTCACTAGTGCAACCAGTGGACATTTTGTCCTTTACTAGTGCCACTAGTGGACATTTTGGCACTCACTAGTTAACATGTAAGTTGCAACATAATATCACTAGTGCTACTAGTAGCACTAGTGATATTAGTGCTACTAGTACTATTGGCTACTAGTGGCACTAGTAGACTGCATGCAAATGAAGCAGGCAGGACAAGTATTTTGATTGGTACCTGGTATACAAATGAACCACTGCATTCATTTGTTTTTTCTTGTGTCTAACATTAACTTTTTGACTGACTATTACCTCATTTCAGGTTCTTTCATTGAGTTTTCAGCAAAATATTCCCCAACTTCAGCTGAGAAAGCAACATTTGGAGGCATTTTTGGTGGAACCATATTTATGTTCATCTTTTTTCTTATAGCCCGAAGTGAGTATGTTTATAAATGGATTTCAGGAATATTGGACTAGAATTATGCATAAAGATTTATTTTCTGGGTGGCATGGTGGCGCAGTGGTTAGTGCTGCTGCCTCACATCAAGAAGGTCCTGGGTTCAGTCTTGGGTCTTTTCTGTGTGGAGTTTGCATGCTCTCCCGTGTTCACGTGGGTTTCCATCGGGGGCTCCAGTTTCCTCCCACAGTCCAAAAGCATGCAGGATAGGTTGATTGGCGAGTCTGAATTGGCCCTGTAGTTGTGTGTGTACCCTGTGGTGTGTTGGTGCCTGCCCAGGGTTGTTTCCTGCCTGTGCCCCTTGTTCCTGGGATCGGCTCCGGTGACCCCAGTTGGGATTAAGCGGTGATGGATGAATTTATTTTCTATTTTGAATTTAAACACAGAAATGTGTGACGATTTACAGAATTTTTTTTAAATGCAGTATCACTCTTAATCTGTATCCATCGGGCAGCGCAGTGGCTCAGTGGTCAGCACTGCTGCCTGACTGCTCCAGGCTGCTGGTTGGAGTCCAACTTCTCTGTGTCTGTGTTCAGGTGTGCATGTGATCCCCATGTCATGTGGGTTTGAATCCCCCCCTCTGTGTCTGTGTACAGCCTGCATGTGCTCCCCATGTCATGTGGGTTTGAATCCCCCGTCTGTGTACAGTATGCATGTGCTCCCCATGTCGTGTGAGTTTCCACCAGTTACTCAAGTTTCCTCCAGCAGCCCAAAGTCTCCCTCTCAGAGTAACTGGTGTATGTAAGTTGCCCATAGCATGTGACTGTGGGTGTAGGGCCTCCCATCCAAACTGTACCTCTGTCCTCTGCCCTGTGCTGCTTGGGAGAGACTCCAGGCCTCCTGTGATGCTGCCCACTGGGCCACTGCGGTTCTCATTAAAGCTGTATTTGTCTGGGTCAGTGGGGGGGGGGCTGGTCCTGTTTTAGTGGAGGCCCCTGGTTAAGCCAGTGTATTAAAGCCCCCCTGCCCCCCAGCACCCTGGGTTACGTTTTCTTACCCTATTTATATGTTCAAGTTAAGTTTTTTTACTACAGTGTCTGACATGGGATTTAACCCCTTATCCCCCCGATGACAGGGCTGTGCAGAGCAGCGTCTTAAATACAGGACACTCAACACATTTGTTTTGTATTCTCTGCCTGAGATGAATTTTTTGTTTGCTAACTGTTTTCTTCTCACTTCAGTTGTCCACACATTGGTTTGGACAAAATATTCTGAAAACAGTGAAAAAAGAGTGACAATGCGTGGCATCGCAGTAGGAATAACTGGAATTATATTTCTGGTCATCCTGGCTTCATCCATAAGTAAGTCTGTCTATAAGTTCCCTTGTGTGCTGTTTGCATGTTCTCCCTGTGTTTGCACTAGTTCCCTCCATTCAGGGGCATCATGCACCTTATCATTTTGTGAGGGGTGCAGCTTCATATGCAACATACACTCACTGGCCACTTTATTAGGTTCAGCTGTTCAACTGCTTATTGAAGAAAATATCTAATCAGCTAATCATATATCAGCAGCACAATTTATAAAATCATGCCGATACAGGTATGGAGCTTCAGGGAATGTTCACATCAAACACGAGAATAGGGAATAAAAGTGATTTATGTGACTTCGAACGTGGCATGTTTGCTGGTGCCTGACGTGCTGGTGTGAGTATTTCCAAAATTGATGATCTGCTGGAATTTTCACGCTCAACCATCCTAGGGATTACACAAAATGGGCTGAAAAAGAAAAAAACATCCAGTGAGCAGCGGTTCTCTGAGTGAAAATCCCATGTCGATTCGTGACAAACTTTAGTGCTGAAAAGGACCTTTTAGTTCTGCAAGAGGTGACTGCACTGTAAAAAATGCCCGTAAAAAATATGGTAAAAATACCTTAAATGTTGACGGAAAAATAGAGTGAAGAACAATCAGGTAAAATATATAAAATATTTGTAAGTATAAAATCTATCTTTATTTAATACGATTTTTAGTTGTAACATGAAATAATTTCAGTTACTGGTGTAATCTGTAACATGATAATGACATGAGAATATGTGTTAAAATGCAGTTTTAAATATGTAGTTCTACAGTTTATGGAAGCGAGATATACTGTTATGGGGATGTTGCAGTGGTTAGCACTGTTGCCTCACACCTCTGGCACTTGGGTTCGAGTCTCCGCCTGGGTTCCGTGTGTGTGGGGTTTGCATGTTCTCCCCATGTCATCGTGGGGTTTCCTTTGGTTTCCCCCCTCAATCCAAGACATGCTGAGGCTAATTGGAGTTACTAAATTGGCCATAGGTGTGCATGTGAGAGTGGATGGTCTGTGAGTGTGCCCTGTGATGGGCTGACCCCCTGTCCTGGGTTGTGCCCCTATGCTTTGGACCCCCTGTGACCCAGAGGGATAAGTGGTTTGAAAAATGGATGGTATACCGTTATACATTAAACACTGCTCCTGTAATTTTACAGTAAAATCTTTGAAAAATGCGGATTTAAACAGTTTGTTATATCAGCATGACGCCTCTGCTTGCAGGTGCTCTGGTCCCCCCCGCCCCCACCCAAAACATATATTTGGGTAAAATGGGGTCTAAAAATAGCCCATTGTGTGTGAGTGGATGTGCACTGTGATGGACTGGCACCCCACCAGGGTGTACCCTGCTCTGGGCTCTTTAGGGATAGTCTCATCATGGAACTATACTTAGGGAGGGGTTATGATGGATGGATGGATAGATGGATGGATGGATCATGTATATATTTATTATTTTCTTTTGGCTGCAGGGATTTCAAAAATGTACAACGTGGGTTGTTAAAATATTTTTTCATATTGAATATGTACATTGAGGGATGTATGATCAAATGTCCAACCCAAACACCCTGGGATGTACCTTTTCATACCATGATGTTCAATAAGGGATTCAAAACCAGAACCCCCAGGTGACAGGCCTGTGCAGGACCAGTGAACACATCTGTTTTTGTACTCTGTCTGACATGAATTTCATGGTGACCGACTCTATTCTTACTTTATTTTAGTTGCTGCCAGTGTTTATCTGGCAAAATACTCAGCTCTGGCTTGGAAAGAACTTGGAACATTTTCCACTTTATTAATGTTTCCAGTCATCATGGTTTTATTGCCACGTAAGTATGTTTTCAGGTTTTGTTAATGTATTTATTTTTAATTTGTTTTACACTTTGTAATTTCAATAACACTGGAGCATAATTTAGTAAAGATGTATTTATTTTCTACAATATAGCGATTTAGACACACAAACCTTAAACATAAGCATTTGAATGACAATAATACAATTAAACCTCGGATTGCGAGCATAATTTGTTCCGGAAACATGCTCATAATCCAAAGCACTCGTATATCAAAGCAAATTTTCCCATTAGAAATAATGGAAAATCAGATGATTCGTCCCACAACCCAAAAATACTCATATAAAAATGATTAATACAAAATATAAAGTAAAAATACATAAAACAAATAAACCTGCACTTTACCTTTGAAAAGAATTGTGGATGGTGTGAGGGAGACGAGAGAGAGGAGAAGAGGAAGGTTATTTTCACTACACTGTGTGCAGAATTATTGGGCAAGTACTATTCCTGGAGATTATTTTTAGCAAAAGTTGGGTAGACTTATAAAAATGAATACAGAAGCTTTCTTGTGTACAAAGTAAATATATTTAGAGAGAAGATGTTACATTTGACTTTCACAAACAAAAATAAAAGAAAAACGCTTGATTATCAGTGTGCAGAATTATTACGCAATCAGAAACTAAGTGGATTTTCTCTCTTCACCATCAACAGAAATAATAATAAGAAACAATTTTTGTGTGTGTGTGTGTATATATATATATCAGTATATATAAGGAGCTTTCAGCCGTTCTATACAGCCCACTTCACCCAGTTTAATGCCCAGGATAGCTAACTTTCTTCTCAGTGACTACCATGAACCTGTTTCCCACTGAAGCAATCAGGTTTTTGATTTGATCCTGTCCTATATTAGCTGAGCCAGCTAGGACTACCACCTAGAAGCTGCTCTGAGAAGGGTACTGCTTGCTACTTTGGTAAATCTCACACTTTGGTTTATGACCTTAGGAATGTCACACTGCACCTAGAACGTCTGGGGATTCTGTTTAGATTGCAGTTTTGAAAAATGATGGCATTTGATGCTCAAGAGTCTCTGAAAGTCTCCCCTTTAATTTGGCACAGAACTTTGACAATTTATGTGTGTCATCTTCTCTCTAAAAGCCTCTTCAAGTCCTCTTTGGCTGTTGGCAACAAAACACTTGATTGTACAGTGATCACATTTCAAAAGTCTGGCAGTTTCAATTGTTTTGCATCCGTCTGACTGGTTAACTATTTTGTTTTTTTCCTGCTCTCGGTAGGGTCCTCTTTGGCCCATTTCAATAGTAATAATAATTTGCTTAATAATTCTGCATAGGAAAGTATCTATGTTTTCCTGTTTTTATCCAAACAGAAAGTATTCAGACCAAATACTGAACATTTTGCTGTTTTTAAACAGTTGATTCTTAATTAGAGATTCATCTGGACTCAAATTATTGGTTGGTTGAGAAGATACAAGTGAAATACACATTTGCCTAATAATTCTGCACACAGTGTATAACTAACAGAATCACTGCTTTCTGTTGGCTCACTGGAATCTTTTTCTTTTTATGCGACTTTAACAAGGAACCTATCCAATGACAGCCGCTTTTGCCTCCTTTTCAATTTCGCAGAAATGTGGACATTGCATTGTCATTAAACAGATTTATCACTCGCACTGCTACGCCCTTATTCGGGTGGTGCTTTTCTGCAAAATTTTGACTATATGAGTGAGGCATGCCGACTGAGACCGAGCATGGGAAACCGGTAACCCACAATCCTGCAGCGAGAGAGAGAGAAGAACCATTGGCTCAGTTATGATCACGTGACTCTCGGCAGACAAAGCGTATACGTAATACTCGTATTACAAGACTTCGCTCGTTTATCAAATTAAAATGTATTTTAAAATTTTGCTTGTCTTGCAAAACACTCGCAAACCAAGTTACTCTCAATCCGAGGTTTGATTGAGTGTGTTTTCCATAATTAATATGTACATAATAAGGGTACTATGATGCAATACCCAACTGAAACCCCCATTTTTTAACGTTTCATAGCCCATTTTTTAAGCTGGCATGCACTTTTATTATTCAATATGGGATTCAAACTCAGAACCCCCAGGTGACAGTGCTCTGCAAGGTTTTAAACACAGGACCACTGAACACATCTGTTTTTTCATCCTCTGTCTCGTGACTGACACTTATCTTCCCTTATTTCAGCTGGGTTCAGTGTGTTTTGGATAATACGCTCCCGTAGGATGGGAAGAACAGTACGACTTAGAGACATTCTTGTAATCGTGGGTAATTTCCTGTGTAAGTATATTTATGTGGATTTATTTCCTCATATTAACATTTATACCCATTGGCATATTAAGAATTCTGACCAGAATGAGGTTTAGAGCTGTTTTACTTTCCATGGCACACAGGCCCAGTGGGCAGCACTGCTGCCTCTTAGTTCCAAGGCTGGGGGATCAAGTCCTACCTCTGCTCTTTGTGTGGAGTTTGCAGGTTCTGGTGTTTGACAGATTACACTTGTACCCTGTGCACCTGACATTTTACCCAGTAGGATGTTATTGTGTGGACCTGATGTAGGGTGACATGTAGGGTGACATGTAGGGTGTACGGGTGGGGGCACCTGGCCACCACATGGAATGATCCGGGACCCCCTCCAGCCGACACACTCTGGCCCCCACCTTCATCACGCCACAGGATTTTGAGGGACCCTCTGACTCACAGGGGCATTAGACTCCTTGGCCTGTGCTTTGTCCCCCACTGCCCTTGGATCATGGGCCTTACTGTGCATGACCTCACAGTATAGTTGAGCCCTGGGGACGGCAGGATTTAACTCAGGGAAAGAAAAGCCCAAGGACACTTTGTTATTTAATATCATGTTACATCTGTATAGACTGATGAGAGAATGAGGGTGTCTGATTTGTTCTGTTTGCCTTACAGATAACCCCAGACTGTTTAACCTGCTGTTCTTTGCTATTTATTCCCAACTCTTTGCCTGGATTAACAACACATTTAAATTAGGTGAGTCTCCCTGCATTTTCATACTTATTATGTGTGTAAATGGAGGTGGGTGTTTCTAATGCATGTAATAAATTCTGCTGTGTGGAGGCTCAGTGTGTCACGACCGGGTATAAGGGCTGTCAGAAAAGGAGGCAGAGATCCAGAGGTGAGGAAGGAGGAGAACAGGGTTTAATAAGGGTAAAATCAGGGTATGGGGCAGGAACAGCAGGAACAGGGCAACTGGGACACAGAACCACAGACCAGGGGTTCAAGGTCTGAACGAGGACTGCTGGGGAGCTGGGGCTTAAACAGGCAGAGGGGAAATGAGGGAAATAGAAGCTAGTGCACTGATAGGAACTGGTGGAACTTGTCTGGTGCAGGGAGGAGAGACTGTGAGCGCCCTCTGCTGGTTTCCAGAAATAATGTGACACAGTGGACAGTACTGTAGTTTCACACTGAGGGTTCGATTCCTGGGTATGTGTGTGTGGGACTGAGCCCTGATTGATCTAAATCCATTAATTCTTACTTATGTGTGAGTCTGGACAGCAGGGGGATGGATGGATAAAAAAAAGCACCTGTGTTCTCAGTGAAAAGTGAGTTTCTGACACTGTCTTTTTTATTCTTACTCGTCTGTGTGAGGGTTGAGGGTCACGCAGGTTTGGGCACAATATTATGAATATGCATGTAGTATCTGAATGCTGAATACACAGTCCAGAATGTATTCAGTATTGTATTCTGGTAAAATACTCAAAATGTACCTTAATCAGAATACCTTTAGACATTGTAATATGTTGTAATGCCAATAAGGTCGATTAATCGAGTAATTGTGTATGGTAATGAACAGCCAAAATAATCTGTGCACAAACGTTTAGAGCATGTGAGCATCAACATCCTCAAAGCAGGGTTCCCCCAATTCTGGCAGAATAAATTTCCATTACTTTTCCAAAACTTTTCCAGTACCATAAGAAAAATTTCCAAAACCCACAAGTTTGCTTTGACTTGATGATCATGCAGTTTCAGATAGTAATACAGTCAAACCTCCCTTATCTGGGCAGAATAGGACCGAGGGGTGCCCATAAGTAAGAAAGGCACATAACTTAGAAATACATGAACAGTATAGTACAATGTATATGTACATGTGTACACATGCAAACTACATGATATTTATGAGGTGCAAGGTTTATAATAGGATGTTATTTCAGTCTGAGCTAGCGAATCATCCAACTTTATTCTTGCAGTGGTCATCCAGTTTTTAACCAGCATCAAGTGAGCTGGATGATTTTTTCTTTACTCTTCCAAATATCGCCTACTGTAGACTTAGCCACTCCAAAGTGGTCTGCAACAACTCTGTGTGATTTTCCTTTTCGTATCTCTGTAATGGAGGGTCACTACGCTTCCTTTTTGAAGCCATGGATTTTGCAGTTTTACGCGCCGCTGTAAGTTCAGCTCCGCCCAAAGCCTCATCCTCTACCTCGCTCTCCATTCGACGTTCGCTCCACCTCTACGTGCAGACTCTGCCCACAAGACCCCAAGATACTTGAACTCCTCCACTTGAGGCAGTATGTCTTCCCTGACCTGAAGAGGGCAATCCACCCGTTTCCAGCTGAGAACCATGGTCTCGGACTTGGAGGTGCTAATCTTCATCCCCGCCGCTTTGCACTCGGCTGCGAACCGCCCCAGAGCACACTGGAGATCCCCAGCAGATGAAGCCAACAGGACAACATCGTCTGCAAAAGCAAAAAGCAGTGAGGCAATCCTGAGGCCACCAAACTGGACACCCTCAACACCCTGGCTGCGCCTAGAA